GCGTCACGCAGGAGAAACTTAGCCTCCAACCTTTTAGAGACAACTCGGGGACAACACGGTAACCCGCGTCGACCCGTCGCCGCTCCGACCGAGTGCGCCACCTGTACATCCCGCGGTCCCCTACGACAGGACAGGTTCTCGTGGGGCACAACTTACCTTCCCTAAGGGGATGTCACCACCCTTAGGGGCGTATCCCCGCCGAGCTACCGACCCACATGCGAAAGTTTTTATAATGCAATTGCAGAGGTAGGCCGGCCGAGGGCGTTTGCTCGTTCGTTGTAGCATAGGTACACATGGTTAAACGCCGAAGTGGATCCGAACATCGTCTGTCCCTGGGGCGCTGATCTCCCAGGAATCGAAACGCAGGCCGGTCGACAAGGACGTCATATTCCAAACGTAAGGAAAACTTCTAGCGATCCTAGTCCCTTTTTTCGAAGACAGTCAAAAGTTACTAAATACTCGTGTCAACGCAAGCTGAATTATTTTCTTGAAATTGACACATTCATACATATCACTCGTCTGGGTTGTCACAACTTTTGCGACTTGATGAGGTGCGTTGCCAAGTTCTTTCATTCCACCCCATACCGACTGCTAGCCAAGAATGCAGACAAATCCCAATACTCGATTAAAGCTAGGATGCCATCRCACCAKTGATGACTATGCTCCCACTCTAACTTTGGTGTGAATGTCGTTTGCAAGTAGTCCGGCTACCACTATACGAGTCAGTACTCGACTTGAACAACCGAACACTGGATGCCCCATTAAGGTTAAGGATCCACTTTTAAATTATGTTGGTCGCTTTGTCCTCCTGGGCAATAATTACTCTTTATGTTTTATAAATGATGGAGTATCAACCTTCGACATGAAGATATTCAAGGCAATAAATACTCTATTCACATCTTCCCGTCAACTAGTCTGATCGCCCCAGGCTTGCACTTCTTATGGTGCAACCCTATCCGCGAAGGTAGTGCCTAGTCGCACTCCGTCCATAGCTAGTGATCGCACRAACTGGGCTTCTTATGGCGTCAGCTCCCCACTCATCTGTGGCTCCTAAGACGGCCACTAGAAGGGTAAACTATAGCGGTTTTTCTTAACGTGAGTCGTCAAGAACTTAACGCCTTCCGTGAATAGCACACGTCCATCCCCTAGGAGGTGGTCTGGGATACCCCTCGTCCTCGCCCGGGCGAACCCCGGATCTTAGAAGTTGGGCTGGCTCCWCYACGACAGCATGGTATCCCCCCGCCTAAGCGGTCCACTCCGAGTCGTTAACAGGGTCGGCCCCTAAGGCAACAAACCCCCGCCTCAGATGCCTCCTAGGGAAAAGGAAGTGCACTTACCACAGCAGACGGTCAGCCCTTTATCGCCTGACGTCAAGGCGAACCTAGACGAAGAAGGAGATCACAAAGAAGAAAAACATTCCGACGGAAGGGCATAGATAGAGAGGGACATTCGGGAAAGAATGGGTAACCTCGAGAAAAATCTATATCCGATTCACTTCTACTCCTTTATGTGATCGCTCCGTTTCTCGTCGTCTACTGTCTTCCCATCCTTTCAACATGCATGCAGGCAAAAATTAGAAAGCAATCATCATTCCATTCACTTTCGCTGACATGATTAAACCTCMATTTTCCAAGCATCCTTCTACTTACCTGCACATGAGATCAAACGACAAGTTCAAGAGAAAACAATGCAATCCCAAACTCATGTCAGACTTTYAGTCACACGTGCAAACAAACACAACTTCCCCTACCTTTCCAGTGAACATTCAAAGAACAGGGTCAAGCAAGTGTGGGTTCACACAGGTGTGAAGGAGTCTGAGTCAAACAACTGACCTTGAGTGAARTTGAAGCGGCTYACTCAAGAAAGCCTAATATTTTTGTCAAAAGACTGATCACACAACTCACGTTGTGGCCTGCTTACAAAAATAAACCATGCTCCTCTTCAAGTGCCACCACTAACCCAGGCGCCGCTTATCAAGACAAAGCAAGCTTGCCGTCGAGAAGAGTACCCCCACTCTCAAATCTCACACGGCCTCATTATAGTCTCAACGGCATACCTCCTACAAAGAACAACGTTAGCTCAATCTTCACTCCAACCCCCACCGATTGCCAAGTCAGATCACCGCACGCCTCCACAATACTCATTTCCCGTCTCACTCCTCACTCACCTGGTCCCAGAATGGTCCCAGATAGTCCCACACCATCGCCGCAATACTTGGTGGTCCCAACTCAAACCCCTCTTGCCCAACGTGCCGTAAAAAAATTGGTCTCGACCMGYCTTTCAGKTGCCGCATGCCACTGGCAGCGTTTCCGCATAACCGCCGTCGACCCCAATGCTGCCGCCGCAAAATTTYSGCAGCSCTTCCGCACTACCGCYAATAAAAGCACCGCCRWCKCCGTGCCAARCGGACAACACCTCTTCTACAGACTTCAATGATGGATGCCGCCGCCAAAAAAGCCATGCAGCATCTCCCCTACACCGCCAGCCGAACCCCTGCCGCCGCCGGGCAGAGTTTCCCCCTGCACCGCTTGCACCAAGGTGGCGGCTATGGCAGCCTCCACCTCCGCCAGCAGCTCCAGSATCTCCACCAGCAGCACCCAGCCAGCATTCACTCGAGTGAATGCCTCAGCAGCATTGCCACAACTTGTGAGGCTGCTGGGTGGACTG